TCTTAATTTTCAAAAATGTCACTTTTTATGAAATTAAAGATTGTAAGTGATCTTTATGAGATAGGCACTTAAAATTTTGGCTAGATCACTATTTTTGAAGGTAGAATACGCCTAAAAACTTTGATACAAATCGGTAACTTGTCACGTACAACTGTGTGATTTACCCGTGGAATCCCCCTTCTTCAAAATTATTTTTATCATTTCAGTTTTCAATTATTATTTTCTATAATTTTTGACTAAAAAAATTTTTGAGAATTTTCAAATCCATTTGTTTACAAGTCAATTTTACAAAATTTCAATTATTCGGGAATTCTCCAATTAAATATATATATATTAGAAAATAAAAACTTTAAATAATTTTAAAAAATTCAATTAAACTTTTACAAAAAAATAATTCTACCGAATTATTTGTTAAAAGTATGAAAATTTCAAATTTTCAAAGATTTTAATTTGGAACCATTTCAAAATTAAATTATTTCACAAAAATTCGCGCAATAATGCTTTTAATATTCAATTAATTACCTAGCTGATAATAAAAAAGTGAGGAGAAATTTAATTAGGCTTCTCAAGTCAAAAAAATGTTTTTTGACAGTATAGGAGAGGAGGAGCTTTGCAACAATTTAACACCGGAGACACTGAGATTCCCCAGTAAGAAACGAAAAATTGAAAAGGATTGAAATAATTCAAACTCTGTATGGTGTAGTAGAAATTATCCAATACTTTTGAATGCCATTTCTGTCCAATACTTTTCTATACCATGATAGGACCACGTTTCGTCTAAAAATGAATGCTATTAAATTCTTTTTGTAATTTTTAACAAAGACAAAATTTTTTTCTGAATGCTTTCCAATCCCATCCGAAATTATTACAGCCTGTCATTATATCACTTTTCAATTTTTCATTGGAACCGCGTTTCTGCATGCATTCAAGCAATCTTCTGGATTTTTGTAATTTATAAGATACATACAGTGGCAGATTTTGTAAAAAGTGTTTGTGTTCAAAGAAAAACTTGCTGAAAAATTGATTGTTTACCAATTTAACGTCATTTAAACGAGTCAAGGCCGTTATTCTGTTAGACAATAAATCATAACCTAAAAATTTCAGAGACCTTTAAACACTTTTAACCCTCTTAACTGATAATTTAAAAATTATTCCTTTTTAAAATAGCAAATAAAGTCATGAGTGCAGTTATTTGAAAGTAATTGAACATTCTACCCACATAGCACAATAGTATGAGGTAAGGTTATGTTGAGTACTAATCGTAAGGCTCATAAGGTTACACGATATTGCTGTGGTAGACCTGAGGTGAACTAAAAACTTCCGCCATGTAGGTAAGGTTACATGTTAGGGTGTGATGACTATATATGATAAGGCCATGGTAACCTTACACGTTAAGGTTGAGGTAACGTTACATGTTAATGTTGAGGTAACGTTACATGTTAAGGTTGAGGTAACGTTACATGTTAAGGTTGAGGTAAGGTTACATGTCAAGGTTGAGGTAAGGTAATTATTAAGTTGTAAGATTGAGGTAAGGTTAAGGTAAGGTTGTGATAGGTTTACCAGTTATAGAAAATATTGAAAAAATAATTAATAAATAAATATTCAATTAAAATGTTAAGTTTGTTGCTCTTCTCTATTTTGGAAACCTGACATGAAGCAGAAAATTTTGAAAACAAATTTGGGGGGACTGGGATTCGAACCCGGGATCAACGCGCATAAACCTATCATTCTAACTAACTGAGCTAAGTAGAGAACTGGCAGAAGGAAAATTAATGTTGCCTTTAAGGTGAACCAAGAAGATGATTAACTCCTTAAAGGCAACATTAATTTTCTTTCTGCCAGTTCTCTACTTAGCTCAGTTAGTTAGAATGATAGGTTTATGCGCGTCGATCCCGGGTTCGAATCCCAGTCCTCCCAAATTTGTTTTCAAAATTTTCTTCTTCATGTCAGGTTTCCAAAATAGAGAAGAGCAACAAACTTAACATTTTAATTGAATATTTATTTATTAATTATTTTTTCAATATTTTTCATAACTGGTAAACTTATCACAACCTTACCTTAACCTTAACTCAACCTTAACATGTAACGTTACCTCAACCATAACGTGTAACGTTACCTCAACCTTAACATGTAACCTTACCTCAACCTTAACATGTAACGTTACCTCAACCTTAACGTGTAAGGTTACCATGGCCTTATCATATATAGTCACCACACCCTAACATGTAACCTTACCTCCATGGCGGAAGTTTTTAGTTCACCTTAGGTCTACCACAGCAATATCGTGTAACCTTATGTGCCTTACGATTAGTATTCAACATAACCTTACCTCATACTATTGTGCTATGTGGGTATATGTCAACAATATTAGTATTATATTATTATACTACTGTTGCGGAATTCAGAAGCATAGAGCAGAAATGGTATTAAAAAGGATAGAATTTTTTTAATGCTTCTTAATCTTTGCTTTCTTACTGGGTATTCAAGAGGATTGATATCGTTACTATTTATATTGCTCTCACTGGATAGAAAAGTATTGGACAGAAATGGCATTCAAAAGAATAGAATCTTTTTAATACTTTTCAATTTTTCGTTTCTTACTGGGTCTCTAGAGAAAGACTGTTGAAAAAATACGACAGCTTTTTATTTGATTCAGACTTATTGAGCCTCCAGAGGCTCCTCCTCTCTTAAGCTTTACTCGAATTTAACGCTGTATAAAGGTCCTCAACCATATTTGCAAACGAGATTATTAAATATTTATCAAAATAGAATTATAATTAAGAATAGATGCTATAAACTCGCTAAAGATCAAAAATGTAAATGTGAGGAACAAAAAACCATTTGACGAATACCATCTTTTTGTCGAATGTAGTGCCCTATCTGAGATCAGAGGAAAATATATTGTAAGCACCAACCTCGAAAACCACTGGATCGATTTTAAGGAAATTTATACGTGTTATATAAATTAATAAAAGGAATTTTAAAAAAAAATTTCAAAAAATTTTGCCCGAAAGAAACCCAAAAACAAAATTTTTGAATTTTCAAAAAAAAATTTGTTTGGTCTTATTTTGGAGATACTACTTTGGAATTTTTACAGAAAATTCTCCTAAATGTGTACTTTTAAGAAATATTTTTGTTGACTTTTTTAATTGGGTACCACATAGTGAAAAAAATTAAAATCCTAAGTAGCGCATCATTCCGGCTGAACCGGCTGAAGCACAATGTATCCAGCCATTTTGAATTTTGAAAATTTTAAATTACATTCGTAATGAGTGACCCCAGAAACGCGTAATTACTAAATTTCAAAGAAATTTAAAAATAATCAGTTACTAATTCGATGTCAAATATAGTTGACTTTTTTGATAGTAACTTCTTAAGATTCACCTCTTCATTGCGTAGGTTTATTTTAGATTTTTGAGTTAAAACTACCTAGCGTTGATTACACAGTTAATATTGTATAATATAAGTTGCGGTTGCAACTTTTAAGAGTACTAAGATTGTATTGTAAGAGTACTATGTACGAAAGGGCTTATCCCGTATACTTGTTAAATAAATAAATAAATAAAAATAATTGAAATCCTGTGAAAAATTTTATTATTTATGAAAATAATTAAATTTTTGCAACGAATTTTATTACAATTTTTTTGAAATAATTGAAATCGTGTGAAGAATTTTATTATTTATAAAAATAATTGAATTCTTGCTACGAATTTTGCTATATTTTCTTTTTAGATAATTGAATTCTTTTGAGAAATTTTATTAAAATAGTAGATTTTGAAAATATTTGAATTTCAATATTTACTTAAAATTTTATTTAAAATAATTGATCAATTGAAATCTTATGAAGAATTTTATTATTTATAAAAATAGTTGAATTCTTGAATCGAATTTTATTAAATTTTTTTTGAAATAATTGAAATCGTGTAAAGAATTTTATTATTTATAAAAATAATTGAATTCTTGCTACGAATTTTGTTACATTTTCTTTTTAGATAATTGAATTCTTTTGAGAAATTTTATTAAAATAGTAGATTTTGAAAATATTTGAATTTCAATATTTACTTAAAATTTTATTTAAAATAATTGATCAATTGAAATCCTATGAAGAATTTTATTATTTATAAAAATAATTGAATTCTTGAATCGAATTTTATTAAATTTTTTAAAAATAATTGAAATCCTGTGAAGAATTTGTATTATTTATGAAAATAATTGAATTCTTACATAAAAGAAAATCTTCATAAAATTCAATTACATTCAAAATTTTAGTAAAAATTATTTTTTTTCGAGGAATTCGATTAAAATTGTATTATAAAAGTAATTGAAATTCTCTGATAGTTTTATTATTTACAAAAATAATTGAATTATTGGCGAAAGAAATTTATAAAAATTTAGTAAATAAATGAAAATCCTGTGAAATTTTTATTATTTATGAAAATAATGAAATGTTTGCGTAGAATTTGATTTACACTTTTTAAGAATAATTGAATTCTTTTCAAAAATTTTATTAAAATAGTGGATATTGAAAATCATTAAATTAGATTAAAATTTTTGAAAATAATTGAAATTTTGCCAAGAATTTTATTCAAATGTTTGAAAATAAATGAATTTCAGAAACGAATTTTATTATTTATAAAGATAATTGAAATTTTTACTAGAATTTTCAAAAATTTTTGAACATAATTAAATTTTTGCGAAAAATTTTATTGTACTTTGGAAAATAATTGAATTTTTACAATTTGTAACCTCTTTAAAATTCAATTTTTTAACTGGATTTTTTGACTATTTTTAACTGAAATTCTTCTATTACATTTTGAAAAAGATTTTAAAAACAAGAAAAACTCGTTTATTTTTTATTACAAAAAGGTGAAAAAGGGGAAAAAGGTGGCAAATTATAAAGAAAAGGTGAAAAAGGTGACAAAATTTAAAAAAAAGAGGGAAAATGACAATGATTGTAGGAAATAAGGAATGAAAAAGGTAATACAAAAGTTAATACAAAATTTGTAATTGCAATGTGTTTATTTTATTTTCTATTATAATACTGTATAACATACAAGAAATGCACTTTAGTGAAACCTACAGAAGAGAATCTGAATGTAGAGCAGTATCATAAAATCTTTATTTTCTTATCGTTTTTTGTCGAACTGTCTTTCTTCCAGTGGTCTTACAATAAACGGTTTTTGCTTTTTGTCTCCGCCTGTTTAGCTCAAAAATAATAAATGTTCACGAGCACTGCAAAGGGCATTTGGTGCTTTTATTTTTATTTATATTTAAAGGACGTTACTTTTTATTTCTTTTTTTTCAGCAAGGTTCATAGTAATATATTCGTATTCATACGTGTAACTACTAATTATCACTTTGCTCCCCAAAATTATGTCATGGTCAAAAAATAAATACGCCTCTTCATAATAATTATCTCTTTTTCTCTCTCTCTCTCTCTCTCTCTCTCTCTCTCTCTCTCTCTCTCTTTGTAAAAACTAACGCCAGGGAATATAATCATTCGGCTAACGTCCTGGGAACAGTTTCTTATTGTTAGTATTTCCTTTCCCCTTTTCTTTTTTTTTCATTTTACTATCATAAACTAGTATCAAATATAAAAACTTATATATGCCCGTCAAGTTCGCTCAATTTACACGATATAATACCTCTTTATATTTATAATATCACTTCGTAACAGTTTGATTGTATTGAGCAAAATAGTAAGGTTGCTCAAAATATATTATAATGAAGGCCTCTACAAAACACCTTTCATCATTTTTTCGTTTTTTCTTTCCTTTTCTTTGAAAAAACGTTGTTTTATTGAATCTGTAATAAAACAATTTGTCGACGTAACAACAAAAAAATGCATTGAGTGCAATGAAAAAAAAATTTTCATTTTCTTTTTCTTTTTACGTAAGGAACTCAAAAGAGTGTTAACTCCGTTGGACTTAGTGATATTATAATAATTTTGACTAGATTCTGGTAGTTTGTTCTGTGGAACATGAACATATGTGCAGATATTTGAAAATATAAAAGAAATATGTTCCCAACAGGCCTTTTTCGAACTAGGTAATGATTTCTATATAATTGTGGAATTTAATTTAACGAGAGACGATACAAAATAAGTAGACAATAAACACTAACGCAGAGACGCATAAGATGCTGCACGAAGAGGATCAATACTTTTTTTTTTTTTTTTTTTTTTAAGAGCATTAGTTCAATGAATAGGGGGCGATGCCGATTCTTTGTGCACACAGAGGTGCGTCTATATTTGTGTTTGTGTATGTGTTTGTGTCATGCACGTACGAGAAAGGTAGGAGAGTTCATACATATTGCAATATGCAATATTCGTATGTGACAATTATTCTACGCTGTCAAGTGTAAAATACAGACGACACCAAAAAAAATAGACTTTTTGAACCCATCATCATCTCTTTGACAAGTTTCTTTCTTTTTTTCACGAGGACGAATCGTTGTCTTAAAAGACATTTAAACTCAAGTTAAAACAAAACTTGGGGTTGATTTAAAAATACATCTATATACAAATTTTGAATAAATTAAGTAGAGATTAGATTTCATTTCATTAAATTCGATTATTGTACGTATAAAAAAAATGATTTTTAGATTAGACGCACAAGAGACACTATAGAAAAAGAGATTCTTCTACATTTAAAAACTGTTTCTTTAACGTAGAAAATACTGATATAACATTGAACCCACAAGATAATATTGTGATGATAATAACTTTGCAAAAATTATGCTAGATGTACACCCACTATCGAACTAACGTAATAGTTACAGCCGCGCCCCAACAAGGACGGCGTCATCCAAATATATAAAATATAGTAATAATATACAAATAGGTATTTATAGCGTACAGTATTTATGTGAACGTGTACTTGCAGCTGCTAAACTCGTATATAAATTGGCGAGAGATTCAGTCTTCATATTAAAGGAGATAATATTCGTTTAACATTACAATATGCGTATTCATCTTTATTTTAATAATTAAAAATGTTTATGTACGTGATATCACAGCGCTCAGCATTAAATTGCGAAGGTACTTTTTTTTTTTTTTTAATTTTCTCAGTAATTGTCGATCTCTCTTTTTTTCAATACGAGTAGTCAACTATCACCGGTGTACACTGAGGTGCGACATCCACGCATACTAATTATGTTTCCTTCAAGAAAATAATTATAATTATAATATAGCAAAAAAAAATAAATAAAAACAATATAACATTTTTGAGTTACGCAGGATCAAAAATCGCACATATTTCTGATTATAGATATCGAGAAAGAATACACTAATATTAATAATAATAATAATAATAATAAGAATAATAATAAGAATAATAATAATAATAGTACTAATAATATAAAAATTAAAATCCTATTTTAATGTATAGGCGAAATTAATGAAAAAAATTAATAAAATAATTGACAAAAAAAAAATATTTTCTCAATGATTTTTGATCAGACGTTACTCATTTTTCAATGGGGGTTTGTTTTTCTCTTTTTTAAAAAAGCACGCCTATCTTTCTCATCAGTTGGCGACACAGCGGCAGCGCATTTTGCACTTTTCTTTACGTGTATTTAAGAGTGTGAGGTGCGACCACCACAGACAGTTTTTTTTTACTTTACTTTTTAATTAACGCTTTTTTTTGTTATAAATTTTTAGAAAATAATTTCAAACAGCTGTTGTATATATACATATTTAACAGTCGGTGTTTACGATAAGAGTACAAGTTGCTATAGCCCCATCATTACAACTTTTTTATTTTTTTTATTTTCCCCTCGATATCGACCTATTCTTGGGAGACTCGCAAAAAGACTGTTTTCTTCTCTTTTTTAAATAATCATTTGAATTCTTTTTTTTCTAAGTCGATAGTACATTTCGCTAATACCATCGAGATTAATATGATATGATATACCACATACAAAACTGATGAGATACGTTTCCTATTTTAATCATGATGTATAATAGAACAGTGAGTCTATTAATACGCTACATCATACATATCACAGAACTACGCGTACACCCTTTATCAATTTAAAAAAAAATGCCTCTTCCTAAATACCTTTTCAATATTATACTTTTTTTTTTTTTTTTAATTTCTCCGAGAAGAAAATTCTTCAATAAAGAATAATTTCTAGAAAAATGATCGTCTTAGAAAACGAAATTTTTTTGGGTGAATTTTTATTCGATAAGGGGCGTACGCAATGTGCGGGAGCCTCCAGTTTACTTGACTCTCGATTAATCTGTAATTTGTTTCAACTAATTCGAAATAAAAAAATGTGATGCAACTTTCAAATTTATATTCAATAGATTTAAAAAAAAAATTCTTGAAGAGAAAGGAAAAATTTCGTTTCTCATATTTTCAAATGAAAAAGGAAAATTAAATTAATTTTCTTTGGATGAAAATTGAAATCTATTGTACATAAAAGCGAGTATATGTGAGAAGTCGATGTGCGTTATTAAAATGCATAGAACTTGACAAAGTAAGAACTTTTAAATTCTTTAAAAACGATTTTTTTGTGAATCTGGAGGCTCACAAAAATTAACACGGAGTTGGTTAGATCGTGTCGATCACAAATACCATTAAACAACATGTTTAATCGCGTTTAAAATTTTTTAGACGCGTTATGGAACAGAGTTGTTAGCCTCACGTGTTTGGTAATGTTAATATTTTTTATGCAGCCTATTAAACCTTTATGTATTATATAACAACCTAGACTTTTTTTTCCTGTTCGCTAAATTAAAAATTGTGGTCACAGAATTTTGACGCGAGAAAACTAATAAAAGAACACAGGTACGATTCAAGTTTTATTTATTTATTTTTGTTTTCTTTTTAGCTCGCGACTAGTCTGCACTTTCCCTCCGTAATCTGCGATGTAGAGCAAGGCCACTCGGTGGCCAATTGCATAAACATCAAAAAACGATACTTGTTTTTCTGTTATATCGTTATTCGTTCTAACAACAAATTACTTTCGATACAAAAATAAGATACAAAGAGCTTTGCTCCGAGATGCACAGCCATATGACTACGCGCCCGAATTTTTTTTTCATTTAGCCTCTTTCCTAGGGTTCGATTAAACCATTCATTCGATTGTCGATTGACAGCTTGGAAGATCGTATTTTTTCCTATTTCGCACGAAATCCTATTAATTTTTTTTTTTTTTTGCCATTATTTCAACTTTCTCCGTGTACGAAAGATCTCTCCAATCGGACTGCAGCATTTTTTTTTTAAATGTGGGAAAGAAAGCTTACAATATTTATAAAGACGCAATTGGTCTCGTCGCGGATTTCTCTAGAACATGGTCGTTTCTCAATTGGGCGCACAGCTAAATTTTTATGCAAAAGGCCTTCGTGTTTCCTTTGTAAAGCGTCTTCTGTCCATACCCCGAGATATAAATAAATTATAAATTATTAATCCTAACCCACCCCCCTTCTATATGTTTCGTGCATTTCAGAAAAGCATACAAGTAGTTTACATAGTTATCGCAAAAAGATTACTATTTAATTACCGTAGGGTCGTCCATCATAATTATATTCGTGGTTCCGACCAATATTTCAATATTAATATATTGATATACCATTTCTACTAACTATCGCTACATCAACTAACCTGGAATGTGCCAAGAGTGAAATTTTATTTATTTTATTTACTTTATTCAAATTTGGAGGAAAATAATTTAATTTTCCTTTTTCTGAATCGTGGATTCATCTTTTTTTTGTTAAAAAATAAGTTGTGTAACTTTGTTGTGTAACATTGTTAGGAGATTGCGGCATCATTCCAGAAAAGTGTAAATAAAGGAAAAAAATTAAAACAAAATACCAAGTATTCTAATAAGAACATAGCGGAAAAAAATCAACTATCCCACGCAAATCACAAAAAACTTTCATCTGTACGAGAGAATAGGATTAAAATTCGAGTATTTGAATTTAATTGGCTCGAATCTCGGAAATTTTACCTCTTGGAAGGCGTCACTGTTGAACGGGCGTCGGTGGGTAGGGGTATCCATAGGGTGGAACGGCTTGGAACTGACCGTAGCCCATCGACTGATAGGCGCAAGCATTGGGACCAGGCGGTGGTCGATTGGTCGGTTGGAAGAACTTGTTGTTAACTAGACTTTGAATGCTGCTGTCAGTGGGTCCGGCGGAAGGCATCATGAAAGGCGGCGGCATTGAGTACATGCATTGCCCATTCTGTCCTCCGTTGAAAGTGCTTTGGCGATTGTTGAAGCGACTTCCTTGATAGCCAACACGATTTTGGTAACGAGGTGCCGACGTTGCCTGATAAGTGTTTTGAATTCCGTTGCCGTTCGCCTGATATCCTCCAGAGTGATGATAGCCATTAGATTGCCGTGGTTGTTGCTGTTGCTGCTGTTGATGATGGTGCTGCTGCGGTTGTTGTGCTGTTTGCGCAACAGTTGTCTGTTGTTGTTGTTGTTGTTGTTGTTGATAATTGTTCTGATATCCGCCTTGTCGATTATTCTGATAAGTATTTTGTGACCGCATCATTTGACGTTCCTGGCCACCATTCATCTGGCTCGGTTGAATGATATGCTGATTCTGCCAGCCATTTGTATTGGGACTATGGTTATTCCTTGGACTACCCAATGAATTGCTGTCCTTTGGGTTTCGGTTGTTACTCCAGCGTTGCCTTCCCTTTCCATACTGATGTCTTTGTGAATTGGACATTTCCGCGAGTTGAGGATTGATCGTTTGACCAGCTTCTTCAAGAACGGAGATCAATTCTTTCGCTTGACGAGCATTGTTGGGTGTGAAGAAAGCATAAGCTGTACCAGCGCTTTGACAACGTCCTGTTCTACCTATCCTGTAAAATAAATTCAAAAATTAGCCTCAATATATCAGAAATAAACTGTGCTAAAAATTCAAAGTTTTCTTTATTGTAGGTTTTGTTGGGTTTTGCTTTTGGTTATCCAGGCTTCGCACTCATTTACTAAAAACTACTATTTACTACTTTTTTTACGTTTTACTACTATTTGGGTACTTTTTTTAGATTTCAGTCACTAAAAGCTACTATTTCTGTTTTTTTGTTGAGAATTTTCATCTACTTTTAAATTCGCTAATAATAATAAAAAAAAAGAAATTCGCTAATAATCAAAAAACTATTCTCAAAAATAATCAAATTCTTTAAAACAATTCAATTATTTTCAAAAAATATTCGAAATTCAATTATTTTCAATATCTAATATTTTCATAAAATTTCGCAAAAGAATTCAATTTTTAAAAAATTTATAAAATTCATCTAAAATTCAATTATTTTCATAAATAATAAAATTTCCAGAGGAATTCAATTAATTTAAAAAAGCATTTTCAAAAAAAAATTTCGAAAAAATCAATTAATTAACAAAATTTTCATACAATTCTTCACAATAATTCAATTATTTTCATAAATAATAAAACTCAATGCTGAATTTCAATTATTTTTAATACTATTTTAAATTAATTAATTGAAAAATTCAATTGTTGTCACAAATAAAATTTTCCACAAAAATTCGTTATGTATTTAAAATAAAATTTTCAGAATATTTACAATATTTTGAATAAATTAATTATTTAAAATAATGTTTATATTCAATTATTTTCATAAATAATAAAATTCATCGCAGGATTTCAATTATTTTTATTACAATTTTACAGGAATTTCTCAAAAAATGTAATTATTCTTAAAAATTTAATTTCGATTCCTCGAAAAAATCAATTATTTAAAAAACTGTTTTCTTTAAATTCTTCGGTATAAATCAATTATTTACAAAAATATTATAATTTTTCACAGGAATTCAATTATTTTCAAATATTTCAATAAAAATTTTCGAAAGAAATCAATTATTTCAAATACAATTTTGATTCCATTTTTTTTTAAATAATAGAATTATTCTTTTAGATTTTAATAAAATTCCTCACAAGAATTCAATTATTTCCATAAATAATTCTTCGAAAAAATTGAATTATGTCGATAAATAACAAAATTATTTGCGAAAATTTAATTATTTTGAAGCATTTTAATAAAATTCTTTGCAAAATATAATTGTTTTTATAATAAATAACAATATTCATCACAAGAATTCAATTATTTCTAAATGTAATAAATTTTTTCTTGTAAATTCAATTATTTACAAAAATTCTAATAAAATCGTTCGCCAGAATTTAATTATATTCATAAATAATAAAATTCTTCTCAGGAATTCAATTATTTTTGAAAAATTGAATAAAATTCTTTCCTACTAGTCAATTATTTTCATAAATAATAAAATTCATTGCAGGATTAGAATTATTTTAATACAATTTTACAAGAATTGCTCAAAAAATGTAATTATTTTTAAAAAATTAATTTCGATTCTTCGAAAAATTCAATTATTTTAAAAAATGTCTTTTTTCAAATTCTTCGGAAGAATTCAATTATTTACAAAAATATTAGAATGTTTCACAGTAATTCAATTATTTTCAAATATTTTAATAAAATTGTTTGAAAGAAATTAATTACTTTATACAATTTAAATTAAATTTTTTTGAAATAATTCAATTATTCTTTTAGATTTTAATAAAATTCTTCCAAGAATTCAATTATTTCCATAAATAATTCTTTAAAAGAATTCAATTACGTCGATAAATAAAAAAATTATTCCCAAAAATTCAATTATTTTGAGGCATTTTAATAAATTTCTCTGCAAAATTAAATCATTTTCATAAATTAGAATATTCATCACAAGAATTCAAAAAATTCAAATAAAATCGTTCGCAAAAATTCAAATATTGTCAAAAATTTTAATTAAATTCTTTGTAAAATTTAATTATTTTTAAAAACTTTTCGCAATTCAATGATTTTCAATATCTACTATTTTCATAAAATTTCGAAACAGAATTCAATTGATTAAAAAATTTTTTGTAAAAATCTTCGTAAGAATTCAATTTTTTTCATGAATAATAAAAATATCTCAGGAATTCAATTTATTTAAATTAGAATTTGCATAAAATTAGTCTAATGAAATCAATTATTTAAAACTTTTTATAAAATTCTTGGCAAGAATTAAATTATTTTTATAAATATTTAAATTTTTTGATGAATAATAAAATTCGTTGCAGAAATTCAATTAAGTAGCAGGATCAGAAATAAGTAAATATTTTTGATGAAAATTAGGAAAAAGTCAGGAAAATAAAAAATATGGAATAGAATTTTTGTCAGTTTTGTGAAGGGTCTAAAAAAAGGAGTTTTTTCGTCAAGTTTAATTTTTCGATAGCTACTTTTTTACTACTTTTTTTAGTTTGAAAGCTACTTTTTGACACATTTTTAAAATTAATTATCGAGAGCAAAGTCTGTAATTCTCATTAAAAGAAAAATAATTGTATTTTATTTATTATACGATTTTCCATTTTAGACAATTGGTAGTTGCTGAAAAAATTTCAGCTGAATTAAAGGAAAAAATATACATTCACAACAGATACTTATCAAACTCCCGTTGAAAAAGTAAAAAGGATTAACTAATACGTATCGATTGACAAAGGAAAGAGTATTAAGTAAAGAATAATTAAATGGTATTTTAAAAAATCTTAATTTAAAAAAGAATTCGAAAAGAAAATTAAATCAGATTCTCCTTCAGAAAAATTGGAATTATGTATTTAGAAGAAAATTTCTTATTATTTAAAAGATTAAAAAACACGATTAGAACCGTTTCATTTGATAAAAATCACAATTTACAATTATTGTGATTGAAAAAAGTTTAGTTCTGGTTCGAAAAGATTGGAATAGACCTTTTCATCTTAAATCGAAAATAGACAATCGCCATGATAATTTTCGTGAAATTCATAAAGGCAATTAAATTTTTTGAATAATGTGCGTGTCATTTACTATAGACATGACCGACTTTGATCAGAACTTTAGAGTATTTGGTGCGCATGCGTCCTAAACAATATTCTAGACAAAAAAAATCTATTGATTTTGTTTTTAGCATTATGACGAAGTAAAATATGAATTTTAGCGTGTTCTATATTCTTATTGATAGGTATAAAGTTAAGTTTTTAATTTTAAAAGAGTTAAAGATTATAAACTAATTTTTAATTTTATTTTAGTTTTATGAAATTGTTCCTTTTCGTATTGCTTACACTATTTGACATACGAAACAAAATTTCTGTACATTGTGTTTTTAGGCAAAAATGTTCATTTAGTGTGCGAAACCCTTGTCCGACTTTTTTTACCCAAAGATAAAATTGAAAGCCATTTTCAAACATGTCGAACAAGTGAATTACTTTTGCTCCCTATCGTTTGATATCTGAAATCGACACTTTTGTGCCTTTGGAATAAATAGTATCGTCAACAACAAGGGGAAAAAGGCAGCCCAATTTAATTACGATGAATTTTGCGGCACTTGGTTCGATCTCGGGGCAACCTCGAGCTTCAATCGTGTCACAAAATTCACTGTAAACAAATGGCAGCTTTTTCCCCTTTTTTACTTCCATGGAATTTTTTGACGTGGGAGTACACTCTTAAGGTCACATTTTTATTTGAAATCAATCAGCTTTGATTATTTATTTTTAAGACAAATCTCTCTTCTATGTGAACCTCAAAAAATTGAAGAAACAAATTATTTAAAGTGTTTTTTTTAATTTAAACCAAAATTTAAAAAAGGTAAAAATTGTGACTGTAAAAAGATTAATTTTTGGCTAATTCAAGGTTCACATAGAAGAGAGATATGCCTTAAAAGTAAATAATCAAAGCTGGTTGGTTTTTAATTCAAACATTATGATCGAAACAAGAAGAAACCAACTTCAATTATGTAGAAGAAACTAAACAGTTTTAACCTGATAAATTGTGCAATTTTTATACCTTTATATCTTTTAAATTAGACCCGGGACCAAAACGAAAATTTCGGTGTGCCTAGATTTTATAATGTAATTTAGAAGTTGTGAAGTGACAAATTTAAAAAATTTTTTTTTAACGGAGTTAATAAGTTGTAAAGTACGCAACAATTCAGAAATTACGCACTTTCAACTCAATATTTCTTGTATATTTAAAAGAAAAATTAAGAAAGTGATAAGAAATCCTGAAATATTTTATTTCATAAAAAATATTCTATATTCGGTGAGTTTTCATTTAATTCAATAGTTCCACTTTCTCGTAATTAATTGATAAAAACGTCAAAATTCGGTTATTTGTCGGACCTACTTTAAAAACATATTTTGTCTATTATTTTTATATTTTCACTAGCTTTATTATTAAAACATAATTAATCAACAAATTTTAAACACGAATCAATAATTCTTTTTGCACTTTTAAGAATTTTTCTATGATGGTGGCCATTAAAAACCAAAATAGGCTAAACCAAAACGTTGAAAAAATTAAGACAAACATCTGTCTTATAATTTTTCCACTGATTCCAGGGCTCGAACAAAAATATAACCAGTCCGAGTCGTATAAAAGAACATTTTACTTAAAACTATAAATTAAATTTTTCATTAAGTACATGAAAAGTTTCGAGCATTAATCCTAACAGATTTTTCTCCGTGTATTATTCATATATTGTACATCTTTAAAATTATTTTCATCATTTCAATTATTTTCTAGAATTTTGAACTAAAATTCTTCTTTAAATCAATTAATTTTCGAAAAAGTTCTTTGAAAATTTTCAAATTCAATTAAACTTTTTCAAAAAAATTAATTACAAAATTCAATTATTTCTAAAAATTCTCGCTATATTGCTTTTAATATTTAATTATTATCTAAAATTTTAACTAAAATTAATTTTTTAATTTATTTAGGGGAGAGTCTCCAGTTGTGAGACACCTCCAGTTGTGAGACAGTCAATTTTTTTAACA